CCGATGATCGGTCTACTCGGAGGAAACAGGCGGGTTTGGGAGATTTTGCTAACCTTGTAGTTATTCGTATCCAAAAAGCGAGTTTTAATTTTCAATAGTTCATTTGCATTAACGGACCGGGTACAGTATCCCATTATCGCAAACGAAAAACGTTCCAATAAGGAAAATAAGATAAATCATCCGAAAACTTTTCAAAACACAAGCACGGTTGAAATGACAAGTTTCCATTAAAAATGACCTGAACTTCATCTTTGAAATCATTCGAGGAATAAATGCCACAATGATGAAGACCACTGGTAACAGCCTACAGTGTAACGACATAGTTTCTGCTGACCAAAGTTGTTGATCAACGAATATGCGGATGCCGTCAACAATGGTGCTAACATTGATGGACCATCAACGTGGTCCGTTAGCTACGATTTGCGGAAAAATTGGTAGGGTTTAAGGAGAACACTGTTTTGTGTGACCTGCGGGTTACCTAATCACTAAAACACTAAGCTTACTTCAAGTCCGGATCTGTTTCGCCAAACACGTCCCGGTAGGGGGCTGTAACCTCCGTGAATCGACGTGCTTGATCCGACAAGAGAAATACACGACAAGAATAGATCCGCAGGATCAAGCTGTAACCGGAATGACAACGACGTGAATGGGCAGGCATACTGTATACGATAGAATCCGGAGCAGGAACGGGAACGTCGGGCTCAAATTGTCGACAACCGTAGCACATGAAACACGCTACGTGTCCACACAAGAGACAAATGCTAGGATCACTATGCGCGTTTCCTCCCACGTTGCATCTGAAAATTGAAAAGCAACTGATGAGAACTAAATTTAAAAGGAATGAAACTGAAATATAAAATAAGCACGACAGAAATTACAGACAAAATTACGGCTGAAGTTTAACCCCTTTTCTGGGATGATGTCTCAGTGGAGTTCATGATGTGAGTATAATTCATCGACAGATTAGTTGGTGCTCGATTCAAATACAATTTCAATCTCCTCAAGGATCTGTGTGCTTCTCAAGTCCAAATTCAACAGTTCAAATAGTTAGTTTCTGAAAACAACCGGTCATCCTGACTACTTTACCATTCATTCCATTGAGATATCGCCAAGAAAAAAACAACCACACATGGTCGTAGAACGTACCAATTCTATCGGTTGGCAATCTACGGCAGATATCAGTCTTTGTAAACCGAATTGATGCTCGTTTTGCAAACACTCAAGTGTTGAGAAAATTCCTACTTGTTCAAGGTTTGGTTTGCAGCTTTCACAAACTGTATGATGGATGGTATATGAATGAGAAGTATTCAAACTAAGGAACACTAGTTGACTGAATACGAGTGTTCTAAATGTGTTAGCCTGGTTGAAGAGGAGAACGGCTGGAAATATCCTATTACCCGTTTCAAGACCACAGTTTGCTTTCCAGGCATCAATAGTTTCGCTGTTCCAAGTCTCAGAGCAAAGCATTTTGGTCCTTATAACAGAACCTCAGGATTCTGTGACAATATAGTTCAAATGCATACTGTTCATTACAATATGATGTGGCAAATAGCCAGTGTATTTATCAAGGTATTACGCAAGAAGAGAGGTCAGATTTTCGTTCAGGGGTTTCCCACACAAACCTACATTTTGGAGAAAATGTGATGTGCAATTGTGTGCGAATCAAATTATCCTTGTTTGGGATTGAACAGAACATACTTGAAATCTACAATCAAAGATAGGAGATTCGTATAATCATGAGGCAGAGGTATTAAATGCGGCAGGCGACTGATGGGTTCCGGGTACAGCACTGCGTCATGACTGGGCATGTTCGGTGAAGCAGTCTGTGATTGCCAGTGAGCGCACAATGATTGATACAGTTCACGACTGGAACAGGACAGCCCGGACAGGCACCAACCAATGATCAAGCGAGCGAGCCATAGTGATTCAGAGAGTGAGGACACATCCTGCTCATCCAACAGTGATCGAATCGACTCGGGCGAGCGGGATGCGTCCAGCGAGTTAGGATGGGTAGAAAGGACTGAGAGCAGATCGGACGGCCCTCGAGGCAAACCCAAGTAGGTCAGCAACAAATCGTATTCCACATTCACGTCTGATAAAAGAGCAACAACAGAAAACACAAGAATCGTTAAGAGCACAACAGTACACAAATGGAGAATGTTTGTTCCAAAACATGACCCAATGAAGACAACTACATATTGCAAGAATTTCGATGTTAAAACATTACAGTTATGATTTACTACAAACGACATTCCGATGCATGAAACACTCCGTGATTAATCAACAAGAAAGCAACCAGCGACTTGAAAGTTGAAACAGCGTAGATACAGTGCGTACAATAATAGCTATAAATATCCTTACTTTCTTATTGTTTTTTCATTATAGAAATGAACAATAGACTCTCAGGAAGGCCACGGCGATACCAAGGCTACTGAACGCTATCTGAATATCGGCGATTTAAGTCTAGGTGAGTGGATAAACATTCGTCGAATGAAAGATCAAGTCTGAGGTGGCACAAGGAAAAACCAACCAGTTCTTTCCACTTCGTGCATAAGATAAAAGATTGTATATTAGCACCTTCACGATTGCAGTTCCAAGAAGGGGACAGACCCAGTTTTCCTGATTCGTTCATCTGGTTGTATAGTATGATTTTGGATAAACCTCTAAACAGAACTGATTGGTAGCACAGACCCTGGCGAGTGTGAATTCACGTTGACAAAAACACTCGGCGTTCATGCAATGTATCCGTGTTCTTATAGTGCTGATCATCGACCACGTAACCCGGAGAGAAGAGTCTCAACTTATGTAAGAAGAACGGTTCGCGGTTGCGATCCGACAGTGGCGCGCACTAACGATCAGTCCTAGAAAAGCATGCAACAGCTATTCAGTGCTCTATGGTTGGTCAACACCAACTCTCACAAGATCCGACCGATTGAGCATGATGTACAGGATAGGTGACGAATAATAACATACCGAAAGTTTCCCCATCGGGGACCTGACGCAAATCATGCGGCACTTCCACCTGTGTAATCAAATGGATAACGAACGCGGCAATCCGCAGAAACGGCAAACAATGAATTCGTACATATGTACTCAGTGAGTACACTGCGCTGAGCACGTCCGTGGAAGGAAACGTTTGTACTGGCAATCCAACCAGTTTACGGAGCCGATTGCATACCTCGAGCAACTGTAAAATAACGCGAAATAGAGAGAAAATGTAAAAGTTCATAGTTACATATCATGGTACACACTACCTAAGTGAAAACACAAGAAAATTTGATTACAAAGAAACATCCACTTGAATGAAATCGAATGCGAAGACAGTGGTGAGTTGGGAATATCACGAGAGAAAGTGCATTATTAAGTACTTCTGGCTAAGACAGTTCAAACAGGTTAAAATGAGCATGAAAACTAAACGCGCCTTACACGCACCGGTGAACAATTCTTTATGTATTGGGAAAACCAGTGAGCTTAAAAGAACTCACTTGTGGATTGGACCAACTCTGAGGCATGGAAGAGCAAGGCATACAGTCTGTACTGAAACCGAGTGCGGACAAAGTTGATGCGTTATCCGCATCTGTGAATGACCCCGGATTCCACGATAGTAACGCTTGTACAAGGATAGCACAATAACAGAGACGAACCAAATGTGTCTCGTGCGCGTCTCCCACAGGGATACGGGGCCGGCCTTCGTCACAAGCCAACAAGGCAGCACCAAGTGAGCCTGCACCGGTTTCCGTGCTTTTTAGTTCGTCTAGGACGTCGGCCAGTCGTTCACACTGACATTGGGCTATTCGAGCCTCTTCTAAACCGGGTCGGAGATGAAGTAAACTGATGAACAAATAAGTAATATCCACCTGAGGAACGTGTATTGAAGAGGAGGAAACGCCGAAGGAAATTAGAACGTCTAATCGAAGTATGCAGCGAACAGCAAATAATTTCGCGTAAAAGCACTTTCCTTGAATGTAAAAAACATGATTATAAGGTAAACAAGATTGTACCTCAATTGANCTGCGGTTGACTTATGAATATGGGGATATTCCCGATGAAGCACAATCAGATCATAACGTCCAATCTCAACAAATAACAACGCGACAACCATCTGTTTCAACTGACCTATGGATAACTTTTAGAGAGAATATCGAGCTGGTTAAACAGAATGAATGCAAAACCCTTGTCATCTACACACTGGTATCAAAAATCTCTCCTTACAAAGTATGATGTATGCCTTGACCTAAAGATGAATGAGGAGTGTGACATAAACACATACATACGTTTCAGTTTGTACATTTATTAACCGTGCACTTTTGTGCGCCGGTCGTGGTTGCTGTCTTTGGCTGCCCATTTGGATCAGCAGTAGAAGAAAGACAGGAAGGTTGGGAGTAGAGTCGAAGACAAAATGAAGGGGAGAGAGAGAGAGAGAGAGAGAGAGAGAGAGAGAGAGAGGAACCCTGTCGAACACCACTTTGTGATGAACTTGGGCGATAAAGTGCCGTAAGCTCGGCTTCAGTTATTAGTAAAAACGGATTGTATTGTTGAAATGAACTCCTCGAGCACGCCCTTCAGGTAAAGGCAGTGCCAGAGTTTATAGCGGTCGACTGAAACGAAAGCCACTTTCAGATCCAGGAAGACAGAGATGATGGGTCTACGGAAAGAATTTCGGTGCTCCAGAGTTAGGTGAAGAATGAGAATATGTGGCAAACAATCAAAGGAGTATAATGTGGGCGAGAAGTTTACAGATGATGTTCATTGAACTAACTTCACTGTAGTTTTCACGAGAGTATTTGTCACATTTCATGTAAATCAGTAAGATGATCGATTCACACCATTCAGTTGAAACCTGCTCGCTTTCCCATGTTGACCCCAGGAGTTTCATCAACTTCAAGAACAACGCCGAGCGGCCACACTTAAACGCCGATGGGAACAGTTCATTTGGGCCAAATTCCTTACGCCTTTTGAGGTAGCTGACCTCAAAGGGAAACCTCCATTTCAGATGGAGGACTAACTTTGATTGATTGTATTTGCCCGGCAGATATAGATATAGGAGGGTCTTGTGTCAACGGGGGTCAGTTCAACTGATTCTGGAAATATTCAGCCTGTCGATCAAGACGGTGTTGCTGATGATAGAGCAGTGTGTAACCGGGTTCCATATTATCATTATTATTATATTTCACACTCGTCTGAGGCCAGATTGTGTGCCAAACGTCCAAGGTGCCCATTACACGTCGATGCCCGATTGAGCCAACAACCCGGTTATAGCCTCGGATGTCGGTTCTTCGTTCCTTCACTTTGGTGCGAAAACACCTCCGAAACACATCCTTAACTACTGCACGCGTATTCTGCTAGGGCCCGTATTCCTAATTAGACGGAAAAGATTGCGACTATTACCAATAGACACAGCTTTCTCTATCTCTCGACATTTTCCTAACCACCAGATCTTACGGTCATCTCTGAGACTTCTGATGAGCTGGTGTTTAGGGATTTGCGCGCTGCGTCACATGGGGTATCGGAAGGGTTATGCGGGCATCCCACAAGACAACCGAGGTAGACACGAAGGTTTCAAGAGCTCTAGCTAAAGCAGCTTGTTGACCGATCTGGTAGTGTGCGGACAGTGAAAGCGGATAAAGGAAAAGGGAAGTTTGGCTTAAAAAATCCTATAACTTCTGACTGCTTAATGGTAAAACGATGAGTGATCTCATAAGTGGAATAAACAGGAGGCATCTGGGATTGTTCGACGAAAAGGGCTTTCTTTGGGAACCCTAATCGAGAATACATACATACATACATAAGGGAAGCAGTTTAGGGGTGGACTGAAGTTGCGCCAATTTATGCATCGCCTTATTCTCGGTGTCAAGATGTCCGAATAATGTTGGGCCTGTATGAAAACTAGAGATGAAGTCAAATTTTTCAGACTGCCCCTCGGGAACTTTTCCTGCACACATAGCAATCGTATGTATCTGATGGAAGATGAACAAAGGAAAGGAAAAATAAACCATAGCAGTGTACCACAGACCAAACATTGAGCACGCCATTCAAGTTAAAATAGAACGAGAATAAGCGAGTAGGGAATTATCAATAAGTCCAGGGGAAAAGCTTACAGGATGAAAACGAAAAACAGTATTCATACACACACACACACACAAGGGAGAACGGCGGGATGATACCATTAATGTTACGAAAGCACTCACCTCCCAAATGAGACTGACTGGTGTTTTGCGCAGAAAGACCTGAGGTTCAAGAAAACCAGGAAGGGAAGCACGTTTCGGATCCCACCATTCCATTGGTGTTTGAGATGAGTCAGGGTTACGTGCACTGTCTGCACTTGACGACCGGTTATTTAAGCGAGGCATAAGCAACCGCCAAAGGTATCGGGCATCATCAGTCACGGCGACACGGACGATAGTCTGCACGAGGGAATTGACATCTGATGCCGTCTCAAGTTTGCATGGATCTGTAAGACAGGTGGAAACAAATAAAGGCAATTGACGATTCCGTGTGCAGCAGTAAATTGGTTCTGGTTCTGATTGGTATTACCAACAACAACAAAAATCTAGCGAGAACGGGGTTGAAGTATGAGGAATCATGGAGATGAGTGTCATTAGAAGGATGTATAAATATCAATATTTGGCACACGACAAACTTAACGTAAATGTTTTAAACTAAAAATTGGAAACAGATGCAAGGAGATCGAAAATGGAGCCGAGCGAGACCCACTAGATCGTCTCAAACGATTGGGGACTTAAAACCCTTTAGGCAACAAAAAATTTATCGTGGAATCGTACCTGTGGTTAATACCATATAAGGCATAGCGGAGGCTTTCGGTTTTTTATCAAACATCCTTGTGTGATGAACAGACTGAGTGGACCCCATAGTTTCGAAGACCTGGTGTTCAGTGGCACAAACCGGCATGCCAAGCCCCAGGAGTTGGAGCGGCAAGTCACACACTAGGTTGAACGAAGTATTCAGCGCGGAAGACAGTTAAGCTGTCAACCACCAAAGTTTGCCGCTCCAGGCCCATGGGCTTGAGTGGCTGGCATACACCACTAAACAACAGGTCTTCAAAACTATGGGGTTCACTCCATATGCTGCGCATCAGGCAAAGATGTGACTTAATTGATCGTTTTGATGTGAAACACTAGTCCTAGTTGTCTACGATATTACATCAGGCTGTTGTACCATTGCTACATGTTCATCACCTCCGGTTCTAGAATTCGGCTCCGTTATCCTCTTCCTGGAAGTTCATTGTACATTTTTAAACTAACTAAAAGATCTATTTCTGGGGAGATTGACGGGAGTTTTCCAATGTTATAAATCATTCAGGGGGATGAAAAACAAAATGCGAAGTCGAATATCATTGGTGTATTACATGGACTGATAAACACTAGATAAAAAGTGACAATCTCTCAAAGCAAGCTGAGACTTTTCCATATCTATTCGAGCACCAACCTATCGATTTCATAGGAATCTTCGGTCCTGTCAACAGAAACACTATGGTGATTATCGAAAAGCACACGACTTTGTCGATTCTTTTACAATTGATCAGAAACGCAACATTTAGCTAAAAGCATGAGGTATTCGAATTCGTGAACAGTTCTCAAGAGAATGAGAATGACGATGATGAAATTTGCACTGCACTCGAACAAGTAGGTGCCCTAAAAACGGGCAGAAAAAGGCCACTACCAGTCGAAAATAGGAATAAGTGCATAGGACTAAAGCACTAGGGCACATGGTATGACTGGTCTGAATGATGTTAATCTGATCAATTTGTTCTTTGCTTCGAACCAGCCCCGGAATAGGTTGTGAACGAAAACCTTGAAGGAGAATAATTCAGGCAAAAAAGACAGAGTGAAGCTGGTGCGAACAGAGAGACTCACTAGGTTCAAGAGGGACGGTTGTTTTCATCGGCAGATGCGGTGCACAGTATGCGTACCACCACCAGTCGGTTGGACTGTCCCGGTGTTGGGGCCAACAAAAACGATGACTGTCATCTTGGCCACTCGTCCCACTACCATCACATGAGGACGGACAGCCACGCGAGACGACCGCGTGAGTCACATGTGCACTGATACTGCATCGAAGTAGATGATCCAGATTGCTGATTCGTCGATCCGCAAGGCCACCATTAAAAAAGTGTTGTCGGGGATTCCTTTGTCGCATAGCCTACACCAAAAATGCAATTCGAAAACCAAATACGACCTCAATCACTTAACCACCATGATTCGGGTTTAGTCGTTATGCGATCACGAATGGCGGATGAGGAGGACTAGTGATTGTCTAGAGAATGTTAGCATTGAATCAACAATGAGATGGATATCTAATACGTGTTCTGCATTGAACACGATAGAGTGAACAAAGCTCCGTTTCAAATATGACTGCAGCAATGTCGGAATGTGAGACTCACATGAAAAAAGTAGCTGGGAAGCTATCAAAAGCGACTACTACAAGGAAAGCATACCGGTTGTAAATCGAGAAAAGTATAGTCTAAGAAGGATAGGAGAAAAACTATGTCACATTCAGATAAGACTACTTCACGGGAGTTTGAACAGCCATTAGCCACGTATTTTAGCAAGCCGGTGTTGTTTGCTGTCTTTTCGCTGTCCGTTTAGATGAATAGTAGGAGAAAGACAGGAAAGTTGAAGGTAGAGTCGGTGGAAGTAAGGTAATTAAGAAATCCGGCGGAACTAAAGGCGAAGGAGAAAAGGTCCTAACAATAACAACAATAACAATTAGAATAGAGAGGGGGGAGAACAGCATATGTATGGTGAAATAGCGCCTCAAACGCGGACTAGGATGGATCGGTCTAGGAAGAAACCATCAAGACTGGGTGAGTTGTCGAGATGAATATGATATATCACCCTCGATCGAATACCTCGGAGGTAAACGGAGTCACGTAATTCGATTCCCTATGATTGATCGTCACCGAGGGTTATAGGTGAGACATAAAACTCGGTAAATTTGCAGTAGATAAATAACGACGTGAGCCTTAATGCTGGTTACTGATTGAACTTCATGTGAACCAGTAGTGGGTAGTTTCCCAAAAACGGTTTCCATGGCTGTACAGATGAGTAGAATAAAGGTTGTGCCGCTGCGGTAGAGAAAAGATTAAAGGTCAGTATGCATTTGGTGCTAGCACTAAGTTAATTCAACATTTATCAGGTTCAACTTTCAATTGGAAAAGACAACATAGACATCAGCACGTACAACAAAAAATTAGGTGTTTAGTCCGGAATGATGCTACTTACCAATCACTGAAAACAGTATTAAAATTACGGCCATAGCAGTCATGTGCTGGAAGAACCCATCACCATTTAGCTCCTGCTGTGATGTCTAAGGTTCGCATTCCGTTATCGGCACTCAAGAACTGAGAGATAGACAAAATTCCCTACCCACCCATTAGAATGAGATAATCGAAGGTTCGCTAAATCATACCAAAAGGGAGCACGATTGTCGGTCCCCTCAAATGACCAGCAGGTTCACGTGACTATGGGGTACATTCCTCCTACTGCTCATCAGACTGAACTGTGGAACAGAAAAAGCTAGAAAATAATGTGAATCTAACGACTGTTATACAATCAGCTTTAATTCACAATTACAAAGTATTGTGAAAAACTGTCATAACTAAAAAACACCATCAAGTTAGTACACAAATTGCAGACGAGTAATGCGTACCCGTTCAGACGTGATGAATGTAAAGGCTACTGTATGCCTCAAAGTACGCCATTCGCGCGCGACAACAAGTACTGCAAAATCCGCGTGTTCTTGAAGACAGCTCAGCACTAACGGAGTTTCGCCGTGGATATACGAATCACAAGTGACTTCTGAACTGGGAGTTCCAGAAGTTCCATCAGTGCTCTGCATGTCAGCCGTATCACTGTGAGCTGTGCTCAAATGATCGTGCAACAACCGCAAGTGATCATAAAAGGTGCAAAACATCCGGATAAATTCCTGTACAACATTGTACGAGAAGATGGGCATATGATATCTCAGCGGTTTGCTCAAACGCAGACCACCATTGGATGCGTTCAGACGGTAGATCCCATAAACACGATGGCGTTCAAGGATACTAGCAACGTTTGAGAAAGGTGCTGGAACCGATTCTTCATCATCTAGATCGTCCTCCTCATCTTCTTCACCATCATTCGGCAATGTTGGAGGGCCGTGATCTTCTGAAAAAGGGACGGAAACGGATATATTGCCACTAGACAAGATCTGTGGGCTATCGATGTGACAAATATCAGAACTATGAAACACAATAGTTTGTGTTGAAAGGATTCTAATGAATGCACAGATCATTCTTGGAAAACAGGAGGACGGAAAAGAGGAAGGAAAAATCAGATGTAGAAAACAAAATGGAATAAGCTAAACAGAAACTCTTTGGTACCCTATCTTGC